GTCCCTGTCGCAGCACTGACCCTGGCCGGTGTGGCAGCGCCGGCCGCTCTCGAAGGAGAACAGGTTGGAGTCGAAGCCGTAGCGCCTCAGGCTCAGGTAGGGCCACCTGACGGCGTCGCGCTTGTGCGTGTGCAGGATGAGCTCCCTCTGCGTCAGCTCCATCACCCCCGAGCCCAGCTCGTGCCCCTCATCGTCCACGTTCGTCACCTGCAGGGGACACAGCGGGAAGAGCAGAGCTGAGGGTGGAAAAGAGCTCCGGGATCAGCGACTTCGAAATTTCTGCTTCCATGGCCGGGGTGGGAACTCCCCGCCCTGACCATGAGGAAATTCCTGCTGATTTCCAGCCTAAACCTCCCCCGGTGCAGCTTGAGGCTGATTCCTCATCCCGTCCCTTAAGGCTGATTCCTCAAAGGATTCGTCCTGGCTGTCCCCTCCTGTCAGGCACAGCAACAAGGTCCCCCCTGAGCCTCCTTTTCTCCAGGCTGAGCCCCTTCCCCTTAGGATTCTCCAAACCCTTCCCCAGCTCCCTTAGGATTCTCCAGACGCTTCCCCATCTCCCTCAGGACTTTCCAGATCCTTCTCCAGGTGCTCCAGCTCCATTCCCCTCCCTGGACATGCTCCAGTCCCTCAGTGTCTCCCTTGCTTGGACCCTTCAGGTGCCCCCGAGCAGCTCCCCAGCCCACCCAGCACTGCAATTCCATGGATTCCCCTCCATTTCCTGCTGCTTTTTCCCAGCTGAGAGCAGGGATCCATGGCTGGCAGGAGCTTGGCAGCTCAGCTGCTGTGGCTGAGCCCAGGCTCTGGAACACAGCCCTGAGCAATAAAAGGTTTTTCTCTCCAGTCCCCCATTTCCTTGAATTTCCCAAGCAGAGGCAATTTAGCAGCAAATACAAACACATTTGCAGCAGGAGTTTCTTAAGGAAAGAAAGAAAAAAAAAACAAAACAAAACCAGAAGTGATGAATTTGCAAATCCTCTGGAGGGATATTTGTGTTCAGGAGCAGAAATTTGTTCTCCCTCATGCAGTCAGAGCTGTCCCAGAGCCTCTGGTGGGGTTGGAAGGGCAACAATTTACCTTGAATTTGGTGGGATGGTTGTCTGGGATGCTGTCTGTGCACAGACAGCTGCAGCAGCTCCCCATGACGCCAGGCAGAGAGGCAATCCCTGGGGACAGGACACAAATTGTGGCACAATCACATTCCCAGTCCAGCTCTCCCAGCATCTCCAGCCGTGCCCTCCCCCATCCCAGTGGATCTGCAGCTCCAACTCTTTGCTCTGCTCCTCAATTAACGAGCCCTGTAACTCTAACATTAATTAAAACCAACAGGTTTCTTACCATTAGGCAGTTGTTGGATTTGTTGTGGAGGAGTGAGAAGGAATTCCCACTGCAGTCCCTCTATCTCCCTCGGGACTTCATGGCAAGCAGGTTTCACCTAAAACATGAGGGGAACACTCCCATCTTCCACCTGGCAAGGAGAACACAATTAAACAATGATAAAAGCAGAGAAAATTAAAAAGCAAGGGGTGGGAGAGTGATTGAACTTCCCTTCAGACATCCCAAGGAAAGCGTGTGCATTTTGTGTTTAATTCATTCCATTTATATCAATACAGAAAACTCTGCACAACAATGAAAAACACACAGCTAAAAATAATTTTTAAAAACGAACCAAGAGATATTTTATTTCCTGGCTTTGGGATCCTACAGGGGAGTGGGGTTTACCAGGGTGGAGAAAATAAAACTGAGCAGCCAGGGGTGGTGAGGCAGCTGCTGCTGAGGAATGTGAAGGTGCCTTCACTGCAGGGAAGGTCCTTCAGGGTCAGAGAACCAGCAGCTGCTCTGCTCTGGAGCAGGAGAAGCAAAAAAAAAGGCCAGAAAACACAAAAACTCTGATATCTGACCCAGAAAACACAAAAATTCTGCTTTCTGACCCAGTCAATGCCAGGATCTGACCCAGCATCAGGAAGGCAGGAGTTGCACACAGTAGGAGTGAGAAACACTCCTGGGTACACCAGAAACACTCCTGGTTTTTTTAACTGTAGTGAGAAATGTGGAATTCTGCTGTCCCTGATGGAAACTCGGGCAGGTGACAGGGGAGGATGCCAGGAGTGCCCTGAGAGCAGCTCAGTGCCTCCACCTGATCCACCAGGACCCCCAGCCCAACACCAGGGCAGCAAATGGCAATTTGGGAGCCTCTTCCCATTGGGAATTATTTATTTTAGGAACCTCTTTCCTTTGGGAGCCTCTTCCCATTGGGAACTCTTTATTTTAGGAACCTCTTTCCTTCGAGAATTCTTTCCTTTGGGACTCACTTTCCACTGGGAATTCTTTCTTTTAGGAGCCTCTTTCCTTTGGGAGCCTCTTCCCATTAGGACCCTTTTTCCATTGGGAATTCTTTCCTTTGGGACCCTCCTTCCTTCGGGAACCTCTTTCCATTGAAACCCTTTTTCCACTGGAAACCTCTTTCCTTTGGGACCCTCCTTCCTTTGGGAATTCTTTCCTTTGGGACCCTCATTCCATTGAAAGCCTTTTTCCACTGGAACCCCCTTTCCATTTGGAGCCTCTCCCTCTGCCATGCCAGAATCTGCCTCCCCCCTCCTCCAAAGCAGCCCCAGGGATCGTGGAGTGGCAGAGCTGCCCTGGGCCCCTTTCCAGCGTGGAGGGAGGGGGAAGAGCCACACTTGAGCTGCCCGAGGGTCCCATTCCATTTTTACATCAAAAATCCCCTCCCACTGCTCCTCTGTGCCTCCACTTTGGCCCTTGGAGAATTCCCCAGCCCTGCCAAGTGCCCAGAAGAGGAAAGTTCCCTTCTGTGCAAGCTGAGAACAAACAGAGCCGGTGCCAGCTGCCCTCCTGCACACACCTGCCAGCCCTGCAGCACCACCACACCTTCCTGTGCCACCCCACGCCCTGCCCCTGCCCCTGCCCCTGCCAGCCTCTTTGTTTTCCTAGGCTCCCCATGGATTTATTCCTCTCATTACTGGTCAGTGATTTAGCACAGATCCTGCTCCATCTGATCTGGGCATTGGGGGCTGTGTCCCCTCTGGCTGTGCCCTCCCACTCCCACCTCGGTAAATCCCTCAGGAATAACAGCTGGGAGGAAACATTCTGCCTCTGCCTCCTCTTTCTTTTCTCCTCTCCCTCCAGCCCCATCTATGAGGGGTCAGCCCGAAGTGCTGTGGTTTATCAGGGACAGCTTTTACAGTGAGAACTGAATAAAAAACTAAAAAAACCACCACGAGCTCCCTGAACCCTCCCTCGCTGCTTCCCACTGCTCCTCGCTGGTGAATTTTTCAGCAGCATCCCCTTTTCACACAGAGATTCCCGGGTGTCCAAGCTCCTGCTCTGCACTCCCAGCTCACCTTCCCACACCTGAGTGCCAGTTCAGAGCCCAGCCAGTCACTAAAAACACCCCGAGAGCCCAGCACGGCTCCCCACAGCAGGACTGGGTCCCTCCTGAGGCCACCAGCCCCATCCAGGCTCCCAGAATCCCAACCTAAATCCTGCCTGGACCAGGCTCTCCCGAATTCCCATCCTCCCAAACCCCCAGCCTGCAGAAGCCCCCGGTGCCTTCACCCTCCTGCCAGCTCTTCTCTTAACCCCAGAGCTGGAGAAGCAGATCCCCCTCATCCCAAAGGATTGGGGCAGCCCCTGCCCTGCCTCGTGTGGAAAAGCACCAGGTCCCACATCAAGCCCTCCAGGACACGCAGGGACAGACCCAGGAATTCCTCCCAGGAAAAGGAGGGAGCAGCTCTGGGGGCAGGAAGGGCAAGGAGAAGGGGCTGGAGGAAAGAGGAAAGGGATGGGGGGTTGAGGAGGGGGCTGCAGGGAGGAAAAAGGGAATGGAGAGAGGAGGAAAGGGATGGAGGGATGGGGAAGGGGATGCAGGGATGGGGAAGGGAAAAGGATGGAGGAAGGCAGCAGGGGCTGCAGGGACATGGAAGAGGATGGGGGGATGAGGAAGAGGATGGGGGGATGAGGAAGGGGATGGAGGGAGGAGGACAGGGATGCAGGGACATGGAAGGGGATGAAGGGATGAGGAAGGCGATGGAGGGAGAAGGAAGGAGATGGAAAGAGGAGGACGGGCCCGCAGAGCCCGTGAGAACAAGGGGCCTGAGGAAGGGGCGAGTCCCGGGGGTACCGAGGGGCGGCCGGGGGAGCCCGGGGAGGCCCGAGGGGACGGGGACGGGGGCGATGCCGCGGCCCCGCTCCAGGTACCTGAGGCGCTCCCGGCTCCGCCGTCCGGGAGCTGCGGCCCAGGGCCCCCCGGCCCGGCCCTTCCCGGGGCCCGGAGCGTGTCGGGGCCCCCGGCCCGGCCCTGGCCCTGCCCGGCCCGGCGGGTCCGGGGGTCCCCGGTGGGGCCCGGAGCGATCGGGGCCGGGCCGGGCCCGCCGGAGCAGCCGCACCGCCAGCAACGCGCGGCCGCCAGGGGGCGCCAGGGGGGCGCGGCGGAGCACGGGGGCGGGGCCTTGGGGGCGGGGCTTGGGTGGGCGGGGCTGGGTGGGCGTGGTCTGGGGTAAAGGGGGGAACGGGAGGGTTTTGGTGGGGGGGTCAGTGAGGGGATTTTGGGGGTTTGAGGGAGGAGAGGATGCTGGGGGGGTCAGCGCAGGGGGATTTGAGGGTCTGGGTTCGGGGGATGCTCGAGAGGGATCAGTGGAGGGGATTTGGGGAGGGGTCTGGGGAAAGAGAGGGCTTGGGGGTCAGTGGAGGGGATTTGGGGAGGAGTTTGGGGAAGGAGAGGGGCTGGCGGATCAGCAAAGGGGAATCTGGGGTTGGGGGATGCTCGGGGGGATGAGTGGAGAGGATTTGGGTCTGGGGAAGGAGAGGGGCTGGGGGTCAGTGAAAAGGGATTTGGGGTTGGGGGATGCTCGAGGGGGATCCGTGGAGAGGACTTGGGGAGGGGTCTGGGGAAGGAGAGGGGCTGGGGTTCGGTGCAGGGGGATTTGGGGGTCTGGGCTGGAGGGTTGCTCGAGGAAGAGTCAGTGGAGGGGGATTTTTGGGGGGTCTGGGATGGAAGGATGCCCTCGGGGGTCAGTGGAGGGGGATTTTTGGGGGGTCTGGGATGGAAGGATGCCCTCGGGGGTCAGTGGAGGGGGATTTTGGGGGGGTCTGGAGTAGAGGGAGACTCTAGAGGCCCTGGGGAAGGAGAGGACAGCTCCCCGTGCACAGCCCAGTCCCACCAGTACCAGAGCACGAAACCAGTGCAGGCAATGCTGGGGTGGCCCGGGGGTCCCCCCGCACCCCCAGACCAGCTTGGGGGGCTCCTGCAGGATCCTGAGCGAGCCCAGCACGCCCCGTTTCAGCTCCAGGACACACCCGGGACACACCGAGCCCACGAGGGGAGTTTATCCCTTTTACAATTCACAATTCACAATTCCACAATTGCGGGTTTTACAATTCCAACCCCACCCGCGGCTCCGTGCCGGACATCAGCCCCGGGTTTGGAGTGACTGGAGCCACCGAGCTGTGTCCTGCCCTCCATGGGGACACCGTGGCCACACGGGCTGATGCCACCTCGGGAAAGCCCCGAGTGACCCCTCTGTCCCCAGGGAGGACTTTGCCCATGGATCCTTCCGCTCTGGGGAGGGATGGAGGAGCGCGGGGGGAGCAGGGGACGGGGCGGGGGGGCTCTGTCACCACCCGAGGGGACAAAGTCCAAAGCAGCAACAGGGGCAAGATAAAGCTGCAGAGACCGAGCTCCCAGCGACACAACAGCGTGGGGACATTGAGCACCTCAAAGGGACAGTGACAGCCCCGGCGGGACCCCTGGAGGTGCTCACCCCTCCTCCTCTTCCTCCTGCTTCTCCCCCTGCTCAGGGGATTTTGCAGAGGGTCCTCAAGTGGTTTGAGTGGAAAGAGACTTTAAAAATCCCATTCCTGCCATGGACAGGGACAGTTTCACCCATCCCAGCTTGTTTTAAGTGATGCATTTTGGGGCTACCTAAAAACGGAGGGCAGACAAAATTAAGGGAATAAAAAGCATATTTATATTTATTGAAGGGCCTCCAGGTTTCAGGCAGACAAACCCCCCAGGGCTATACCCAAAACGGACCACGGGTCAGGGGTTTACACACTTTGATAAGTTTGGTCCATTTGTATATTGGGGGTTAATCTTCCAATTACAGCTTCAGGTAATGAAGTCATTTACCCCAAGTTTGCTGCCCCCAATTCACTTTTGTTTACATTTCTCAGGGCCTGAGGCAGTGAGGTGTCCTTGATTCCCAGGCCTGGAGAGGAATTGTTGTGTCTGCCCAAAATGGGAAAGCAGCAGCCAGCACTGAATATGGAGATTAGAGTTGTAATTAAAAGTAAATATAGTATTTTATATCTATATATACAAAATTATATATATATATATATATATATATATATATATATATATATATATATATAAAGTAAATACACACTACAGAATTGCAGGATTACAAACATGAAAAATATAAAAGCCAAAATCCTAAGGCATCACAGCCCTGTCCAACCTGGCTTTGGACACTTCCAGGGATGGGGCAACCACATCCATAAAGCAGCACCATAACCTGTGCCCCAGCACCGCCCTGCACCTCGCCCAGCGGTGCCAGGGGCTTGTCACGGAGCCTGGCACCTCCTCTGCCAAATCACCACCCCTGTGCATTTTGGCTGCAGTCCCGACCCTGATCCCAGAACCTACACGAGCCATCTGCACCCCTCGGGGCTCCCAAAACGAGCCACAACTCCTGGGACCACGCAGGTGGCAGAGATCCAGCCTAGTCCCCGCAGATTTGGGGTTTTTTTGGGGGGGGGATGCTGTGTCCCTTCTCATCCCCAAAGTCACATCAGCGTGCAGGAAAATCTTACAGCGCGGTGAGAAATCCACAGAAACACAAACCAGGACGCTGTGCCTCGCGTCAGGCTCTGATAAATTTTCCCCTGACTCCTGCCCGGGTGGAATTGCTGCAGCCGGAGCCGGTCTGGAATGGCTTGGAGGAGCCTCGTCAGGTGTTCAGGGCTTGTGGAAACTAGGACATCCTGACTTGCCGCTGGCTAACTCCTTTGTGAGAGCCCAGCCAAAGTTTCTCCACCTCTAAATTGGGGTGTAATGACACTTCCCCCTCTTTCATGAAGCTTCAACTCTTTCTGATCTCGGCAGGGAAATAAATCACCGCGCGGGATCATAAAAGTCATCAAACGGCAACCTGGGGTGAACCGAGCCGCAGATGGAGGGAAGGGCGCGGGCGCTCGGAAAATGAGAGGTAGGAGCGAGCCAGATGTCATCGGCAGCTCCTTCCCCTGTAGGGTTAATGTCCCCCCCCCTTCCCCTCCCTGCCTGCCCTGGAATTCCAGCCATTGGCTGGCTCCCGAGGTTTAGGCTAAAAAGCCTCTAATTAGGACCCCGGCTGCCGCGGAGCCAGTGCCTGGGCAGGCAGAGGGAAAAAAAAAAAAAAAGAAAAAAGAAAAAAAAAAAAGAGAGAGGAAAGCAAAAAGCAAAAAAAAAAAAAAAAA